GTGACGGTGGAGTGGCTGCTCAGTGGCCGCAAAGATAATTACCAGCAAACAAAGCAAAAAAGGCACGTCAAAAACAGGGAAAACAGTCATGCACAGAAGAAATTACACAAACAAAGAATGGTCAGTATGCAATGGAAGGTGTTGGCAATACTTCACAAGTTACTAAGCTAAATCTTGAGCTTTCTATACTAACTGACTAATAGAGTATAATGACAAACATGTGTAACAGCTTAGAATTCCGGTGAGGAATTCACGCTGAAACGCAGTGATCTTGTGAGGGAAAAGGTACAGGTAGAGGAGGTGTCCACGGCAAGAGGCGTGACACTGATACATTAAGTTAATTGCTTTTGTCTTATATAAGAGTTTATGTATTATTTATAATTATGTGCATATAGAATGCACAAGAAATATTATTTCTTTTCATAACATTGTGTGACACAGAAGCTTGTATAGAGATTTTATTAACGTATTAACAAATAAATGTTAAACTCATACGTAACAGCTAAAAAAACCTTGCACATTTTTCTGATTCTTAGAAACAAGTTGAAAACTAGTTCTAAAAAATTAATTATGGTGAAAGAAATGGACTAAGGCAATGTTAAATAGCTGTGAAAATGACTGTGAAAGACAAATTAGAAAGAGTCTAAAGTGTAAGAGACCTTCTTTATCTCATGTGATATTTCTCACATTTGACCTGCTTCTTTGAGCAGGGAGGATCCATGCTGGCTTAAGCTATAAAATGTTGTGGGAAGAATACAGCGTATTTTAGGATTTATGCTTTGTTCCTGAAGACATTCATTATTTGGGTAGGTGCCTTTTCCATGCTTGTTCCTCTACAATGTTATTTGTATTTAAAGCCACAAATCTGTTTGTATATAGAGTATGAGTCAAAATAGCTGAGGTATTGATTCTGTATTGCTAGATCTTGCTAAGGTGTTTTTTTAATGTCACTTTGCTCATGGTTTTTTGCATTCAGAGCCATACCTATGAAATTTAAGAAGCGTAACGTGCCCTAAAACCCTTTATCAGCGCTTGCGATGCCACTTTTACAATATTTGTATAATAATCAATAGTCTCTAAAAGAAAGTTGACAAATTGCCAGGTTGAATATCTTTGTTAAACAGCAATTCAGGCTTAATGCTGTATGTCACCCATTTTACCTTTATTAAACAGACTGAATGAAACTTAAGACATAGAGATGTCCTGTCTATTTCTGGGTGATCGTGCTAATTACTTTTTATACACCCAAGTGCCATTATTGTAAATACTGTTTCTGGAGGATTTGCCTTGAGTATTTGGTTTTGGTTTTCAGAAAGATTTCTAAAATGCGATGTATAACTGTATATGTTGTTACAAAATACTTCAAAATACAATTTTAAAGTAAAAATAAGAATTTAACAAGTGATATGTAGTAGGGGTGCGGGAAAAAAGCGATTCTTAGATGCATCGTGATGCGGACGTGAACGATTCTGAATCGATTCACAAACGTCAAAAATCGATTTTCTAAATATTTAATTTATACCGTAATGTTGATGGAACGCAAAAGGCGGAACCTGGAAGTGCGGAAGTGCAGTGCCCGGACACTCTGTGAGGTGCACATAACAAAAACACACATGGATGATCGAGAAATCCGACCGGCTCCCTCTGCATTAAAAGCCAGGTTAGGTCAGGAGTCACAACCCAAATGATAAGAAGAGCCATTTTGTCTTTTCAACAAAAATCAAACCACCTTGGCAGCCACAACATTTATGTCCAGTATGTCTCAGTATGTGTTAATGTCCTGCTATAAGTTAGGTTAAAATATAAATGAAAACGCGGATTTACTTTGCTCTGCTTTAAGCTTTAGCTATATTCGCTTTGCTTCCATCTCCGCCAGAAAACTTTTCCTTTAAAGTAGATCAGTTTCTTGTAAACTGTCTCTCAAAGTTCTGCTGTTTTATGAGGCTGAAGTCGCTTCTTTAAGTCGCTCCAGCTTCTTGTTCGAATTTTCCTGTTCCACCTTAAATTCTGACTGAGGTGCCGAATGTAAATGCAGCACCATTTAAGGTGGAATGGGAAAATTTGAAAGAGAAGCGACTTCATCTTCGCAACTTATGTGTTTGATAGTCTCTCGTTGCAGATTTAGCTTGCAAGTAAACCAACAGCAGCGCTTATGAATGCGAATAATGCATCGTTGCTATGTGACCTGCAGGCTGCAGGGCAATTCTCAGTCGTTGCGAAACAGGGCTTTCGCGCTATGTTGCACACGACCCGAAGATATTTTACTGACACAGCGACCCTCTCTCTCTACAACGAGACCAAAACCGAAGTTATAAAATCACTGAATTAAACGGGTAGGACAGCTGTAACGTGCTGCATGGACATCCATTACCACTGGATTTTATTTCACCGTAACTGCGCATTTTATCGTAGATGAGTGGCAGCGTCTCATGTGCTCCAAGCAATAGCAGTGAATGAGAGCCTTCCAGTTCACTTGCCACATCACTTCCATTTGATTTATTAATAAAAGATATTGGAAGTAAATGCATTATAGATCATTACAAATATTTTGCTTTAAAAGTACCAAGTCCTCACACAGTAAGAAAACAGAAATCCTGTATGGAAAAAAATGATGCATCGAGATGCATCGATAATCGTTTTATAATCGCATCGCAGCCCTCTGAATCGTAATTGAATCGAATCGTGAGGTGCCTAGAGATTCCCATACCTAATATGTAGTATGAAAATATGTCTGTTCTCTCATTAGATTGGGGGGGCAGTGTAACCTTCTGGGTGCCAAATTAAACATCTTCACCAGCCACTTTGGCCCATATGCCAGACTTTGGGCAACTCTAATATAGGTGAACTTTACCCTTGCTAATTCACCAACCTTGGAGGCGTGAGCCAACAGAAAACCAGAGTGAGCAGTAGTATCTTCTTTCTGAAACAAAAAAAATCGAATGGTGTAAATGATCTTCAGTGAACACAATGTTGCTTTCACTTGCAAAAAATAAAACATGTTAATTGACATGTTAACATGATTATTGCAGGAGCGCAAATAATTATCCGATTTTGGCTCAACCTCTAATATTTCAGACACCCATACAAAGCCACCAGTAAAGCTAGTATAATTGAAAAAGGTTTCTAAAACATTTGATGGCTGCAAAATATACTGTGGACATTAAGCACAAGTCTCATGACAACCACTCGTACCCACAATCCAGCATAAAAACAGTCAGTCCAGTCACTCAGAAGCTATCCCAGCCCTGGGAGCAGACATAGCAAATATATACTTTTAAAGAGGGAGCTTCCAGACCCTTTCCCAGGAGATACCGATAGACCTGCACAGCAGAGACAGCTTTTGGCAGCATAATTGCAATCACATCCCAGGGTTATGGTGCCCTGTTGATTGAAAAAAACAATGTGCAGTATGTACATCTAAAAAAAGTGGTTTACAGTTCTTTCTAGATGGAAGAACAATCGTTTGAAGAGAATAGCTGCTCCAGATTTTCTCTGTATTTATGCTTGGCAGTTTTGACTGCTTTGATGAACGCATTCTTTTCCCTTTTATATCATAATGATCATAACTTCTATAAGCTTCTTCCTTGGCTGCATGCAGTTTCTTGAGCTTGCTGGAGAACTATGGTTTGTTATTCTTTTACATATAGATAGTCCTTGATGGGATGCAAGTCAGATCAATTGTTTATATTTTGTAATTCAGCATTAAAGTTCATAATGATGACTGTATAGTCTAAGTGTGCCTGTTTAATCTCTGTTATCTGGTCAAACGGTTGTTGTTGTGCTAAGTTGGCATGTGCCAGTGGGATGACATAGATCCCAACCAGAATTATAAAGGTAAATTTGTGAGGTGAGTAGAATGGCTTGCAATTGGTAATAAGAGTTTCCAGTTTAGGACTAGATACATACTCTTCAGCCTTTGGTTTTCTGACACAAAGCAGGGTCACAGTCCACTCTGTACAATGAAAAGCCAGGTAGCTTTACCTCGGCATCAGGAGTACTCTCATTTAACCACATCTCTCTTCAATGGGAAAGAGAACAACATGCAGAATGCTACAACCTATGCAAGATTTTAATGTGTTTTTGTACATAAGAAGTAGCCAGAGGGGCAGTACCTGTGTGGGCAGTGACATCAGCTTTAACTGGAATATTGGAAACAAAATTGACACTTGACCGGTAAAAAAAAAAAACAGCCAAAATGCTCCAAACATATAAAAACTGCTGCTCCGAAAGAAAGCAGTGATGGCTGTTAAGTGATTTCTTCCTTCTAACAATGCCTACACAAACAGAAAGCACACTATTTGTAGGGTGCTGAATCCATAGCAACATCAGTAGTAACTTTGGAGTACAGTGATGCTGTCGTACGAATTAAAGTCAAAGCTAACTTCTGACAGCAGAGAGTAGTGCTGTTGGTACACATTACTTTCTTTAAGCCAACAAGACTAATGTAAAGTTACATATATAAAAAGGCTGTGATTGGTCTTTTCTAATTCAGGGAGCATCAGGAAAACAAACTTTCAGTTTACATCACTGGTTGGATCAACATATTATTACTGAGCTCTATTGCTAACTGCCTTCAGTGATTCATACAGAGGTCGATAATTAGGTTGATAATTAGGCCTGAATGGTTCTCAGCGGTGTAACAAGGACACAGTACTGATTAATTGCAGTGTGCAATTGTCTTAGTACTTCCTTACGTACACAGAGTATTACCTCATTACTGATATAATGACACAACCCACCGCAAGCTAAGTAGACTACAGTTCTCCGACAATACAGTGGGTGGCAGCATAAAAGCAAAACTGTCAGCCGCCTACAGGGTTTAAATAAACAGAGGAAGACAGACAGTTCATGTAGGCCTAGCTTTGTCGTTCAGCTGTAACTACCACTGAGAGTTACAGTTGGCACATATTTGTTCTTATTTAGTGGGCTGTTGAGTTTTACAATGGAAGAGGCACCACAAAAGCGTTATGTGAATGTTTACTGCAGGTACGCTTCGAAGTTAACGCTGTTATAGGTGGCTAGAGTCTTCAGCTGACTAGCTAGCTGGCCTGCTCTGTGAGCTAACGCTACAGCTTCAATTATTGATGTTATTCTGCATGGGCTATACTGTTTTCTCAAACCAGCTGGCAAAGCATGTAACGTTAACTATAAAATATTGCTACGTAAATGAGAACGTTTATTTTGGCCCTACGTATATTTTAACTCTTTAGGTAGGTAGGTAGTTAGCTAGTTAGCTAGCTAGTTACACTGTATTGTACTGTCGTTTTTGGTCTAAACCAGTCAAAGGGCAAAAGCTCAGCAGTAGCAAGGCTACTACGGACATTTTCATCTACAAGAGAGCGCATTTTCTTCCCTTTCGTCTGTGGTTTATTAAGCCCTTAAACAGAATTTTAATCTGTACGAAAGTGAATCCACGTGTAAAAAAAAAAAAAAAAGTTCTGTAGTTTCTTCTGAAGCCCAGTTTACTTACGCGTATAAAGGTAATGACTTGTAGCTGAGTAAATTCAATAAACTGTATTCGCATGACCATATTTAATTACAACATTGCCAAAATACCAGTCATATTTCACAAAGCAGGATTTCTCAGTAAAGCCCTATTCATTGTGGATTTCAGAAGTCATGTCCTGAACTTGAGGATAAAGGGTCAAATCAAGCTCTATTTTAGCTGTAAAAAAAAAATGTAAAGGGAGGCACTGTTTCTACAAAGCTGGAATCAGCTTCATGCCCGAATTTTCTCGATCCATCTTAAATGGAAAAGCGAGAAAATTTGAAAAAAGACATAGCGAATAGAAAGGCAACTTCAGCCTTGTGCGTCTTTTATTACCTGGACTTGTTATTATATTATTGTGACGTCGATTCAACTAGGAGTGCTATTTCTGAGTAGTTCTGAGGTGTGGACCCTGTCGTATAATGCTGCCATAAATGTCCGCGCGATGATAGTTCGATCTAGTCTATCTGGGGTGATTTGGGAAAATTACACAGATACTTTATTCTGTATAAATCAGACAGTCAAATTATGCCAGAAATTACATTACCAGAACTCCTTTGGTAAAACTAATCCACTCCAAAGTCCACAAAATCCACAGATAAAACACATTCAGGTACCTATTTTCAGGATCCACAGTATTTTTTCAATGCAGTGATCACACAACAGTACAGTCAATATTTCAGTTTAATTTTTTGTTTTCTATTTGTGCTTCACAGGTGCCCCTCTTAAGAAGAATAATGCGTTTTGAGGATGAAATATTAGTAAAGGAATATGTCAACATGATGACCGATATGATAGTCTTATGTTTCACTTTGGCCATTTCATTGTCCTTCTGGGTCATATCCATAACTACTAGCACATACTACGGTGAGCTCACACTTTCAGCACTAATTTGTTCATGTCTTGCATAGCCTACGTACTGAAGTTGTTTCTCTCACTGTTCTGATATGTGTGGCTGTTCAAATACAGATTTTGAGAGTTACATTTGCCTGTCATTAATATGTTACAGGTACATTGCAGCCTGTCTCTCCATGGAGGTGGCTGTTTTCTGTTCTGGTCCCTCTGATTCTTACCTCGCGTGCTTTAAGGAGAAAAAGTCTTGACCATAGTGGTGCTCTAGGAGGTGAGGCATCACACAACTCTTGAAAACAACTATAGAAACATTAAGAGCTGCAGTGATACCTACGGACATGGACTTTAAGCAATTGAGACATAAAATTGCGTTATGGTCAACACTAAGTTACATTTTCACTGACATTAATTTACTGTAAACAACAAAATATGAGAAATACTAGTATCAATGTTTTCAAGTACTGAAGAGAAATATAAAACAAAGAATATACATATATATATGTGTGTGTGTGTGTGTGTGTGTGTATGTATATATGTGTATATATATATATATATATATATATATTATATATATATATATATATATGTGTGTTGTATATTACGTATGTTATATTCATATGTCTGTGCATGTGTGATCTGAAGGCTTCCTGACTGACCATTCAAGATTTGTTTGGAAAATCCATCCAGTTTCATTGTTCCCACTGCATAATGGGACAGATTTTTGAGGAGAAATGTGTACTTTTGCAAGAATATTTTCAAAAGAAAGAAAAGCCACTCTGAAAAGCAAATTTAATCCTGGTATCACAGCAGCACAGGAAACAAAAAATATGGGAAGAGATAACAGAGAAGATCAATGATAGAAATCTTGTTGTTACAAGAACCATACAGGAAAGTAGTGAAGAAATATGAGAACTTGTCTATTGGACAGACGGTGTTGGGCCAAATTCAGCACCCCCTGTCTGGAGCCCGCACAATGTTTTTTACTCAAAAGTGAAAGTAATCAGCTTTTACTTTTACTTTACTTATATCAACTAGAACGTGCCAAAGATCATATTCATTTTAGTCGACAATAAAGTAAATCGCTGTTTTTCACAGTGTACACAGCCCAGGTGGTGTTCTAGATTATGGTGACTCGTAAATCATATTAAAAAAGATAATGTAGCCTATATTGCAATACAATAATAAACAATAGTAACAAATGTAGCCTACATACACTGCTTGCTAATTCCATGATGCTGTGGTCTGCATTCACCTGATATGCAATAAAACCTTGACAACGAAATATACATACAAATCTCACAAACCGATCATGTTGCGTTTCTGACCATTCTGGTTTAAGTTCTTTAGACTTTACACTCTTATAACTGACACATCTTGATAGAAATCTTGCACCAAAGGCAGTGATTTGAAAAAAAATCTCTCAGGAAATGTAGCCCATTATAAATCTGGATACACTGGTATTGCTGCCATTTAACTTGTTCATGTAAATGCTTACATGCTGTTTGCAAATATATACTGCTAAAATCATTTCATAGTTGACTCAAAAAAAAGAAAGTGATGGGGGAATGCTTTAGATCCCTGCTGAGAAAGGATCATTAGAAACATTTAGGATTAAATCCTTACGGTTTTGCTTTCTAAAGAAAATGTCTTAATGGTTTCGAGTGTCGAGAGACAGAGAGAGAGAAAGTCATGGGACTGAGAGCACCCGTTGGTGTCTTCATGGTCGTAACTAGCTATGAGGACACCGAGGTCCGGACCTCAGTAGTGTAGAAGGGTTTTTTCCATTGATGAGATTTAATGTAGAAACAGAAAAATTTTAAAATTAGAAAAATTATGAGAATCAAAATTTACCATTATTTTCTAAAGCCTCCAATTACTGCTTAGTTACTATCCACAATTGCTTCAGTAACTTAGCTAGCAATTGTGACTAGCGTTAGATCCTCAGAAGGTTCTAAAGGGTTTTATAAGATTCAATGCGGGAAAAGCGATGATACTACACAGCAAGCAGTGAGAACAGCTGTGGTTTGGCCATAGACTGAACTGCCCACTCTGTTGATCTCTACGAGACGCTACACAGCCGGAGAAATTTTGACTTCTTGAGATGTTCAGGTAGCACACATGGTATATGCTAACAGATAACATCGCTATGAGTACCATTTATATATTAATGTAAACTTTTCCATTTTAATATAAAATGCAAACTCCATTATTAATTTCTTTATTTGGAGCACTCACAATGTTCATGGCTAAATCAGCATGCTTTAGTCTAACTCCAGTAGCTGCTCAGATTAGGCTACAAGCTCCATAGTTAGCTATACTAGTGATTAGATGAGAAACTAAATCTGTATTTTGTTACCTACATATAACATATTACAACTGGCATGAAAACATTCACTGTTAACCAGCATATTGATAGTATATTATCATGTAGCTAACATTATTAAGAAATCAGAAGGTACATTAGGCTGCATTTTATTTAACAATTTTTTTAACTGTATATGTAGCTGCCTTTCCTGTTAGTAGGGGTTTGGTACAGACAGCCTTTTATAACGAATGTTTAATGTGTGCTTTTACAGTAATCAGTGAGGACAGATGCGAGAGAGAGGGGGGGGTAAATTAAATAAAATCAATTTGAAACTATGACTTAATTGAGTGCATGTTTCAATATGTATTTTCAGCTGAAAAATAAACATATAATAAATAGTTAAATTATTCGTTAAATAAACTTAAACAGGGTAGAAGTGAAATCAGTTTATAGAACAGTAATAGCAGTTCATGGAAGAATGGAGGGATGGGGAAGTAACAAATTAAACTAATTATGATTTTGTAAAAAAAAAAAATAACAGAGAAACTTACAGTTGGTGTAATTCTCATATTTGACAGTTATTTTATTCACTCTGAGATGTTGGTCACATTTTTGCAAAATGGACCTCACTAAAATTCTGCTCCTTGTTACGGCCCTGAGTGTCTTCCTCATCTAACACAAGCTTGATCAAAGCTGTTATTGCTTCATGCAAATTATATGTAAATTAGACAGTCTACACATATAACTTATACAGATCTGAGAGAGGACACTTTTCCTAGCAGATGGACTGCCTTAAAAAAGAATACTTTTATAATCTATGCAATTTTTAAGTAGTTTACTAATATATACTTGCTATGGCTGTGTTTACACAGCAGGTAAAAGTGGCCCAAATCTGATTTTTGATCTGATTTTTTTGTGTGGCTGTTTACAGCATCTTTTAAATTCCAATTCTTGGGTACAGAAACATCAGCCTAAATGTTAATTCAGTCTCAGCAGTGCGAAATTATGATGGATGTCAAGTTGGGTTGACGTAAAAGTTTCATGAATTCCGATCTGGCTGTGTGAACAAAGCCTTAGTGCCAGCATGTGTTTTGCAATAAATTTTCATGACTGCAACAATTTAGCAGAAACTGTGATTTCCTTGCAAGTGGTTTGCCATCTCTGCTGAAATTTGAAAATTAAGGGAAAATGAAAGGCATTATGATGTTTTCCGTAAAAAAATCCCTTAAGTACCATGTAAAGTTTTTTTGAGCAACACACTTAACCTTAAGGAATAATTAAGGGTGTTCTTAAAAGGAAATTCGACTTGAGGTGTATGAAACCGCACACTGAAAGATACTCAACACAATTACGCAAACAAAACTGAAGACACTCTGCCAGCGCATTACAAACGTACAGTCCTTCTGTACAAACTTACTGTGCGTTCTTACGGTACTGTGTGGGTTAAAACAACGGGAAGCACAGAAAATAAATCAGAGCAGAAGAATAATGTAAAGAATAAATCTAATGTAATTCCAACAGCCGCAACATTTTTATACACGTGTGTGTGTGTGTGTGTGTGTGTATATATATATATATATATATATATATATATATATATATATATATATATGTATATACACACACACTTACGCAAAAGGCGCAACTTTGCTCTGCTTTAAGCAATCACCAGCTGGAAATTTTTCCACAAACATAGAACAGTTTCTTGTAAAACGTCTCTCAATGTTCTACTTTTTACGAGGCTGAAGTCAGTTTCTCGTTCTCCAGTTTCTCGTTTGAATTTTCCCATTCCACCTTAAATGGTGCCTGAGGTGCCAGACTGTAACTGCTGCACCATTTAAGGTGGAACGTGAAAATTCAAACAAGAAGCTGGAGAACGAGAAACTGACTGCACTTTCACATGTGTTTTAGTGTTTGACAGTTTCTCTTTGCAGATTACATGTATCAGGAAACCAGCTGAGTGATTATAAATGCAAATAACTCTTTGTCTCCAGATTATCGATTTAATCATCTTAAATCTTTTTCTTTGCCTTTTCGTTAGCTACTAGCTGGGTGAATTAGCAGTTATAGGCTACATTAATTCCAGCGTTTATGATCGTTTATTGTTAAAACTGTATTTGAATGATCAGCAGAGCTTTATTTTACTGTAAACGAGAAATATTTTATTTTTACCTAGAAATCTGATTCTGACGTGGAGCCGCAACCGGCCAGTAAAAGAGCCGAGTAAAAGAGTAAAAGAGGTTGCCGACTCTTGAGCTAGCGTATTAGCTTCCGTGGAGTTGAAGGGGAAAACCATATTACGTTTCCACCCATTTTCCACCCGGTTGTAGTTGCTGCCAACCAGAGGACCATCGATCAAGCGATGTCAAAGCTTCCACCCAACTTGGAAAAGATGAAGCGAATTACAAACGCTGTCGCAACTTTTATTGCCAAGGATTTGCATCTGTTCTCAGTCATTGAGAACCAGGGCTTTCAGGCTATGTTGCACACTTTGGAGCCGAAATACAGCATCCCGTCTTTAAGACATTTTACTGACACAGCGACCCCCCCTACTCTCTACAACGAGACCAAAACCGAAGTTATAGAATCACTGAAGAAAACGGGTAGAATAGCTGTAATGTGACGTGGACATCCATTGCCACAGAATCTTATTTTACCGTAACTGCGCATTTTATCGCAGATGAGTGGCAGCCTGCATCTCTTGTGCTCCAAAGAAGAGCAGTGAATGAGAGCTTCCCAGTTGAAAGATATTGGAAGTAAATTCTTTATGGATCATTACAAATACTTTGCTTTAAAAGTTCAAAGTCCTCACACAGTGAGAAAACAGAAATCCTGTATTGAAAAAAAAGATGCATTGATAATCATTTTATAATCGCATCGCAGCCCTCTGAATCACAATAGAATCGAATAGTGAGGTGCCTAGAGATTCCCACCCCTAAAATATAAAAATGTGTGTGTATGTGTGT